CATGCATTAATAAAGTACCGTGAAGATTCTTCTCATCTATCATCTGATATGTAAAAACTACGAAATCCCGAGACTGTCTCAAAGTTTAGCACTTTTTTATATGAAGTATTGTAAGGCATGACATGATTTTTGTAATCTGATGTGACAGATTTCTGTATTAAGTCAGTGTCAGATCAATCTGTGCGACAATCGATTTCTAATATATATACCCGATAAATCCCCCAAAAATCTTTTCCTATTTCATCCATTCGTGCTACTCTCTTTTATCCAAATATAAATAATTGTTACAGTATGTCGGATTCCGCTTCTAGTTCTACCGTAAACATTAAAACGGAAATTGTTCGTCTCGTTGAGATTCAAGGAGAGAAGGCTGAATTACTTTCCTACTTCACTAAGCATAAAGATCAGCAAGATGATGCGTTGTCAGATCTTAATTGTTTTGATACGGATGAAAATAAACTTGCTTATCTTAGAACTTTCTTGAAGCCTGGTACGTTCTTTCTATCGAAGTGTGGTAGCTTTTTTTCGTTCTTCTCTGTTATATTCGCTAATAATACCGAATACTTACTTATTCTTGTACTTTTCTTTCCTGCTTCTTATCGTCAAACCCGCCCAAAAACACATTTGCGTTATCGCAGAGCAACCTGGTGCTAGTGGTAAGTGAGTCATAATAAATTTGGTCAACACAACCTATCTTTCACAATTATAATTTATACTAAGGGTTCTTTTCCTTTCTATGTAGCTGACACAAGTTCCTTAGACCGAGTTTATTTTTTCGTAGACAATTCTAATGTTACGATAGAAGGCGTGTACTTCATACGCAGTCAAAAACTACTTGATCGCTTTTTGAGTAGTAATAATAAAATAATCTTCGATTACGGACTATTGTTCAAGAAAATTAGGGGTAACCGTGAATTAGGTGGTAACCCAGTAATTGTATGCTCTGAGATTTCGCCTAATGATTCAATCCATAATCAAGGCTACAATGTTAAAGTCCTTAAACACAATTATATGGGAAAAGAAAAGGGGTAGATAATTTCATCACGCTTAAAATGGCAACAACGTTTTGTGACGAAAAAAGGCCCAACACGTTAATTTTGATTGCCGAAGACGGTGATTACTTTGAAACATTGTTAGAAGCTGTAAAACGCAAATGGAAGGTCGAAGTATGGTTCTGGAGTGGTATTTTGAATTGTTTTAATAATCATGAACCAACTAAGCTTTGCAAAAAGCATTTGTTTCCGATAATTGTATCAGATGATTTAAAACTTTCTTTCCCCACCGCAGGGGCATCGGATAAAATCAAGTACGAAGCTAAAATTCATTACACTCAACTCGAAACATGTTATAAATTTTTTATCTATATCAATGGAAATCCATATAATGGAATGGAAAGCCTTGAGATTACAAGTTGCACTATGATCGAAAATAGAGAAATTATGGAATGGCTCGCAAATCTAAATTTATTTAGCTGGATTAACCGGGAAAATGATTCAATATTTTTATATTTTAGCAATAAAGCAGAATTGCAAATCGCAAAGGAATGGATCATGAAAGAACTCAAGGAAATAGTCATTTGGGAAGATGGTAAGCAATTTTAATAATAATATTCAGTTTTTCATTAATTGATTACTTATGTTTGAATGATAAATTTGGGTTATTATTTAGGTACAGAGAAGAAAGCCAAGTCGATTTTACCAACGTAATTAGGAGTTGGCCACTGTAACAAATCTTTGCCTTATTCTGATGTCTGTGCAAAACGTGGATAAAATTCATGACAGTGAAGAATAATGTCTCAAATGAGGCAATATTACTTTGCATATCTTGGGCATTATATTTACTACTTGTAGTAATTACATAATGAACTACATTTAAAAAATATTTGCTATTTCAATAGTGTAGGAATCACTTATAACAATATTAATCATGTATGATAGTTGATCTTGTTCTTATGCAATGTAAAAATAATAAAAATAATAAAGTTTGCTTATATTTCGTGCTTAATCTTTTTAACTGTGTATACATGGGATGTGTTATGTGAGGTTATAACTGTGCAATGGAAAGATAATGGTTGCCATAATCTTTATGTAAGTATAATGAAAAAGGGCGTTCACCTGAAATGCGCAGAAGATATTCGGTAAAATTCTCCCCAGAATAGGGGCTGTGCGACGTAAGATTGGCATATATTCGCTTTATTTTTTCGACTTGATTTGCATTTATTTCTGTATGTCATGCTTTAGCGTCTTTGGCTGTCTTCGGCCACACTATTATCATACTAGCAAAACAATATTCAGGTATAGATATTTTTTTCCGGCAATCAATATCTCGTATATGAGATTTGGGGGATGCATGCACTAATCCTTTGTCATTTTTATTGATTTGCAAGAGATTAACAAATGACGAAATGCAGTGCGTAATTACTGGTGAAAATCCGGGGAATCTTTTCTCCTGCGAAATTTGACAAGTGATATAAAACAGAATGATCATTTTTTGCTCAAGACTCTTCAGCCATATACGAAGACGGTATGGATAGAACTCACATCGTAGCACTCGCAAAAAATATCCTCCATTATACTAGCACCCTTGCTACGCATATCAGTATCCCGGATGTGAATCCATGCTCATTATGTGGAAAAGAGATTTATTCTGCATCGAACCCGCCATACAAAGAATTTACCCTAGCTTCGTGTGGACACATCTTTCACCAGAAGTGTCTCGAAGAGTATCTGGTGAATGGTGAAGCGCGATGCCCGAATAAGGATTGTAATAGAGATATTGAAACTTTTCTCTCTTCAGATCTTTTAAGGAAAAGGGATCACAAGACAAGACTACAACCCCGACTGCAGATACCAACTCCAAGCAAGTGGATTCGGGAGATCAAACACCTGTGGACAAGGCTGATGTAATTCTTATGAATGAACTAGGAATATTAGGCGGAGAGGAACAAAGTTCGTCCTAAACTATTGGAATCACTAAAGAAACTTTTGATCAGGCAACCAGCCCTATTGAGGTTGTTAGCACTACACCTGACAATTCCGACAATTTGGATGACTCGATTTCAAAGGACACTAGCAGTCAAATCCAACGTTCTATATGTGAACAATGCTCCGAAGAAATCTCCCTAGAATTCACGAAACCAACCCTTTTTTTACCCTGTAAACATGTTGTGCATTACGATTGCATCAAGAATTCTCACAAGATGTGTCCTACTTGCCCTTCGTCTGAAATGATGTCAGAGGTATCAACTCTAATAGAACAGGAACTGAGTGATGCACAGAAAAAACGTACTAGAGAATCATTCGCATCTACTGAAAAATCGTCTAGCAAGAAAGCAAAAAAGACGGATGGAAAGGTATCGGGTATGCTAAAAAAACTTATCGAAGAAGTTTCTTCTGAAACACCCCAGGATCCAGAGATTGCGGAAGAGGGAACTAGGACTTTCTTTGATCTGTACAATGCAATCATTGATAAGGAAGGGGTGGAGGAGATTACAAAATGAGAAGTTATCAAATCATATTATAATTTTGGGAAAGCATTTGATGAATGTTTAAATGAATATAAGAAAGAGAATCCTAAGCGCACAGCTCAGGCATTGGTTAATAAAGAAGTTCGAAAACAGCTTCCTGATTCTGTTAGTGATAACGCATTTAGGAAAAGAAAGGAAAGGGCTACGAAGATTTTTGAGCTATTCAATGAAATCGGCGAAGATAAGATTTATAGGATTAAATCTTTTTCCGCGTTGACAATATCAAAATTAAGCCAGGTGATATAGACCATATCTTAGTCAAGTTTTCGAAATAATTTACTGCGCCACACACGTGACGTTGTGACCGCGCGGTCACATTCTCTGAAATATAATAATAAAGTTCGCCCACATCAGGCTAGTGTTTTTTTAACATGTATCTGAAAAATAAATATGATTCTGTATGCAAAATGCCTTACGGCCAATGCTATGTATAATTCCAGAAAAAATAGTTAGATTAACTTTTGCAGAAGCTATGCTTCAAAAAGGGACCAATCATCTCGTAATTTATAGAAACTCGCCAGCTCCTAAAACTCTCTTAGAACTATCGAGGAACTTAGGGAGCTAGTAATACTATATATGCTGTAACCATGTTTTAACTGAATGCGCTATACATATGCATGTAAATATAAAATTATATGACCCTATAAAAATCCCCAATATGCTTATAATCGAATAAAAATGAATTTGGATTTAGTAGAGTATAATCTTGCTTAAATCAGTTATAAATCTAAAAACATTATAAATCGTTAAAATTGCTATAAAGTCTTATTTATTGCACATAATCATATACAGTATAATCATCAAATATGCCTGATGCAATAGTTAAGATCATATTAGATAATATTTATAATAAATCTGTTCCTAAACCTATCAATCTCCATCCTGGATATGATATGAAGCATGTTCATAACATTCAGACTTATAATGATAACTATAGGCTTGAAAAAGTGGTTGAAATAGAAAGACAATATGATTATTTATCTATTATTAGACCTCATGAAACACCCCAACAATGGCATAGCTATTCAATAATTTCAAACATCTCTTAAATAGGTTATAAAGGGTAATTTTTTGCAAATGATTGCATTTTTAATAGGTAAAAATCATTATTTACAATTATCTTATCATTCTAATGTTCAAATTTGATTAATCTTTTATTTTATAATATTTAATGAGTTTTATAAAATAAAAAAAAACATTTAAACTAAATTAATAATTGTTAAAAAAAAACTAAAATATGAGTTTAGCAAATTGGATCAATTTTAAGCAAAATAACATTAATCTATATTAGAAATATTTGGAATCCTTTAAAAATTAAAATTTTTGTTATTTAAAATTAAAATAAATTTGAATAATTAAAAAATGCAATTAATTATTTATATAAATAAATTTTTTATAAATATATATTCTTATAAAATTATTAATTTATAAGATTATTTAATATATAATTTATATTACTATATAGCAAATTTTATATTTACAAAAAAAATAATAATTTCTGATTGAAGAAAATTATTTTATCTGAAAATTTTTTTAAAAAATTAAAATTTTATGTTTTTAATCAAATATAATAAAATTTTTAATTTTAATCAAAATCTGATTTTCTAATTATAATAATGATAATAAATAAATATATTATTATTATTAAATCTAAAATTATATCATCTGCATTTAAAATATTAATTATAATATAAGTAGAAAAAACTAATAATTGAAAATATGAAATATCTTATGTAATTTTTATTTAAAATATGTAAAATTTTAATATTTTAAGTTCTATAATACATATTTTAAAATTTCTAAATTTAGTATTCTATTATATTTAAAGAATCTAGAGTTTAAACAGACGTTTTAATGACATACTAGATAATGTGAACCATTAGGAATATCCAAAGCGTTAATCAATATAAAAATATCTATAATACTGTTTATTTATAAAGTTAAAAATACAATTAATTAAAAAATGTCTGTATTATTAAATTAAAAATTATCAATTCCTAACTTTATTAGAATAATTTA